TAAATGACTGGCGTCCGGTGGCTTTGGAGAGAGCAGTGTTACTGCTAGGGCCAGAACGATATGAGATTTTTTGGGGCAGATACCTATATGGATATTAGGAAGAGAAAAATACGCTCTAGTTACTGCTGTATCAAGTTCAATAAAGCATATTTCTTTAAAATCAAAAGGTCTATCACTTCACTCTGTCACCTTTTTGTAATGTTGACAGACAATTATAATAACATTCTGTAAATTGTGGTGGCAAAAACTTTTTTTTTTTGTGGAAATACAATGACATTTAAGTATTTCCAGGCAATTATTACAGCAGGTTTGACTGCTGCTTGATGAAGAAATCTACTGAAGCAGTCCAGAGACTTGTTTTACCTTTTAGTCATTTAAACCCTGAGATGTGTTAAAACGGGTCGTTGTTTTAAAACACCAAAAATTCCATTCAGAATAAGAATGGAGGCCTTTTTCTCTTGTGCAGTATTTTCACATTTTGAGAAAGGTAGGTCTACTGTAACACTTCCTCCACCTCGACACACAGCACGTGTCTGTTAAACTGAAGAGAGGCTCTGTTGTTTCTACGTTTCAGTGAGACTCTACCCCTTTTGTGTTCTCGAGGAAAATTCATCTTTATTTGGTTGATACTTAATTTCAGGAAATATGTGAACAAAAGAGTTTATTGTGTTTTGCTTTGCCCCGGGTAATGACTGACAGGAAATCAGTACAGTCAGAGCTGGTTTCCCTCCACAGCCGGGGAACTCCCTTCAACGAGTTTTTCTTCATCAGACGTGTTAGTGGTCGGGATTCTGGACGCTGGTTGGTGAGACCAGTTTGTGTTTCCTGCTTTTGTTTTGTCTGTTTGTTTCTGTGTGAGCCAAAGAGGTTTGACTGAAGCCTCGACTCCACCACACAAACAAACAGCCTGAGTCGATTCGTCTTTTGATGGTCATATGATGGACGCAGTGGCATCGAGCAAATTAAGAGTCACCACATATGATTACAATCATTTAAATGACACCTAAACTGCTGGTCTCTCTGCTCCAGCACATTTGTATGCCTTGGCTTTGAACTTAATACCAAAGATCTCTCACTTTTCTTTTTTGGGACTTTTTAATCCAATTATGTCATTGTCCTTTTGTCTCTTTAATTTGGCCTTTGTGTTCTTTTGTGTTTGATGGTTTTGATCATTTTGGACCAAACAGAACTCGGGCGTCCTAGCTCTTCATGTGCCCAATAAAAACAGCGTGGAATGACTTATATAGCACAATCAGACATGAGTAAATCCATGTGAGTGATATGATAATGGATGCCAGTCCTTCTCAAGTAAAACGTGAATGCTGCACATGGTGCAAGCAGTTTTATTCAGACCCGTGTAGGGCTGCAGATGATGTAATCTTAAGTCGAGCATTTACAATTCAGAAGTCTGAATATAAAGCAATGAATACAAATGGCCGAATAATGCTTTCTCACTCAGCATGCATAAATTGTTTTGTATTGCATGGAAGCCTGAGTATAATGGACTAGCTTCACACCATGATGCGGTCAGATGAAGCTAAAGCTCTTTCTTTGCTGGGGGTAGAATCAATCTACTGGTGCAAAACAAGTCATTTAGACCTCAGAATGTGTGAAAAAGAGAGGCAAAACTAAAGAATGTCTTCAAGTTGTCGAGTACATAGAGTAATGAGGGACTGTAAAAAACAAGTTTGTTCTACGAGTTTTGGCTGTAAATGAAAGACGAGATGGTTTTAGACTTTTTACGATACAGTTATTAGCCCTTTTGCGTTTCCGTAATTAAGCTCAGCCGTCATTATGTCTTTGTACGTTCATAGTGATTCTGCGATAGCGTAATAATCTGTCCCAGTCTGTGAATTCACATTGGGGTTTTTGGGGTTGCAGGAACTCCACATACACACACACACACACACACACACACACACACACACACAGCTCTGCGCTCACTGATGACCGTCTCTCTTCTCTAACACATCTGTTGCTTCCTCTGAAGACGAGGCAGAGTGGGGAACACTTAAAACCTCAGAGACATTCTGATTGAAGGCGAAATGTCACAGGGACGTAAAAATCACGCCTTGAAAAACGGCAGTCTGAATGGAGCTAATGATCCAGATATATCCTGACCAGCACTTAAGCTCACAGTCTGATTATAGATATATTATCCAAGGAAATATATTTATATCCAAAGATGATGCGAGATGACACGGTGTCAGTCTTATCTCCATTTGGTTCCATTAACACTCATTAAGCTCATAATGAGGCTGCTTTAAGGGGAACTCCGGGCCCGTCCTCTGATCTGCTCTGAGATCAGCTCCGCTCTTAAACCTGATTAATGATTCAAACACACACAGCGGTCTGTCCTCTCTCTGAACACAGATCTTGACCGTACACGCGAGGAGATATGAATGAACACAGCCACAGAGTCAAGACGAGAAAATCCCCACAAAGATAGAACTCTGACCCGACTGGATTTTTGTTTGCACATTATTTGTTAGTCATGAAGCAAATTTACAAATGAACACACCTACTGTTATTATACAGATGGAACACATTTGTACTGTGTTGTTAAAAATATAACATTCTTAAAAAAAAGGAAATTGTTTAAATTAGTGGTTCTAAACTGGGGGGTCAGGACCCAAAAGTGGGTCTTGGAGTGGTTTTCAGTGGGTCGCGAAAGTGTGCTTGAAAAGCAAAAGTTACAAAAAGTCGAACAGCATGTTTGTTTTCTTTCATTTCTTTGTTCTGTTTCATGTTTTGTACCGCCTGAGGTCCAAACTGCACCACTTCTCATGAAGCAAATCTCATTGGTTGAAAATGATCTGAAATTTGGGTCACGATTCTTACAAAAGGAGTTGGTGGTGGGTCCTGAGGCTTTGAATGACAGTGTTGAGAATAATATTCATGTTTTTACATTCAGGATTTGTTGTATTAAAATAATAATGTTTGGGTTATAGAACTTCTAGCTTTTGTTGGAGTATTTTTGAAATGCTTCATGTCTATAAAATCTGTAAAATAAATGAAATCATACACATAAATAAGAAACCAGCTCCTAAAGTATGGACATACACAGAACGTTTCTTCTATTGTGTTAGGAAGACAGTAAATATAATAATGAGTCTTATTTAATTAAACATATTGAAATGCAGCACAGCAACAGAGACACAAAACAACATGAATTACTGTGTAGCTGTTATGACTGGACTGTAGACACAACAAACAGTGTGATCCATTGACCACACACACACACACACACACACACACACACACACACACCAGATTTTACAGACTCATCATATTTCATATCAACAATGTTTCTGTGCAGGTCAAAGCTCACCTTTAATGTTATATATATATGTAACCCAGGGTTACACAATGCAAGCCAGCTGTAGCCCCCTCCCCCCCCCCTTAATGCAACTACACTACACAAATAAATACACCAAAGAAAAGAACAGATACATGTGTTAGGCATTATCCAAATCCATTCCAAGCAGGAGTTGACCACAGTGTTGTACAACCACACATTCAAACAGCTGAGTGAAAAATCTAATTTAAAAACAATAAAACATTCAATACTAAAAGCATTCATTTGAATTTCTTGACAGAGTTTTATTGTTCTGTCAATTCACTTAAGATGCTCTGAAAAATAACATAAGTTTGTCTTGAAATGAGAGGTCAAGTTTCCATTTTGGCCGTCTCCATTTGTTACGGGAAACAGGAATGACCATATTTGGAGAAGGAGGATACTCATTTTTGAGTCTCTTGGTTGATAATGTTTTTTTAATTAAAATGTAGATTATATAATCACAACATATTTATTTATTTATTTAAAATGGGGACATTAATGAACAGAAACATGTAAATATGCCAGGTTGGAGCCATGTGCTCATTTCCATCTGTAGTCTCTTGGCAGGTCAAAAACCACAATGACAAGCAAATACCAAACAAATAAAGACCGAGTATTAGTGGCTATGTGATGTGTATAAACAGAAAAGAAATGCCCACCCACACACACACACACACACACACACACACACACACACACACACACACACACACACACACACACACACACACACACACACACACGGTAACACAGTAACACATTGTCTCGCAGATAATTAAAAAAACTCGACAGAGAACTGACTGACGTCTGACCTGGATCCTTTGATTACAGCTCACTCTGTGGATTATTTACATGTCTGCCAGACATGTGGTTACCATGACGACATGCGTGTTATGACTCAGCCATTAGCTCAGTGTTCCTGACGGAGCTCCTCAGGTTCCTGCCGAGCGTCTGCTGATTGTGCGTCCCTTGATGTCAGGAAACGTAACAGCAAAGGAAAAACAACAAAATGTAAATTGTATTGTAGGAAATACGCAAAAACATGTAAAATGTGTGCTGTGGGGCCTCTTGATTCAAACAGCATCTTTTATTCTCCATTGGAAAAAATAACTACAAATAAACTACAGGGACAGAGACGTTTTTTTAAATTCCAGGCTGTAAACGTGTACTGTTTTTGAAACCGCCTTCTATACTAGTGGTACTCACTGATTTGGCCAAAATGCTGTATGCAAATAAATGCAAGATCCGCTTTATGCAAGAAAAACCAGGATGACGCACTGATATAAGAAAAATCTACAGAATGCATCAGACCAGTCTCCCTCATGTATGATTTCCCACAATGCAAAGCGCCAGGTCAGAGATTTAAATAGCGGACAGTAACGGGGGAAATGATCACATTTATCTTAATTATCTTTTTTGATTCTCTTAATCATGAAAATGAAAATTGACTGTAAGCGTGTGACGTCAGCTGGACTTTTGATCACTTCCACATTCCAAGACTGGAAACCTGCTTGGCATCAAAATAACCTCTTGACTTGCTTTATTCTCAGCCTTGGAGATCGCCGCCTCATAGAGCCATGAGCACAGCATAAAACATAATAATCTGATGAAAATGATGATGGTGCTGGTTGTTGACCCTCTTGTCTCCCCCTCCGTGCAGATCAGCTGAAGTTGGTCATGGAGCAGGTCCTTGACTTTGCCGTGCGGGAGCTGACAAAGATCGTGGAAGCGTCGTTCGATGACCTGCTGCTGGAGATCACAAAGATGGAGCGAGAGCAGCAGGGGCTGGAGGAGCGACTGGACAAAAGCACTGGCAAAGGAGGGGAGAAGGGGAGAGGAGGAGGAGGAGGAGGAGGAGGAGGTGGGGGGGGGAGGAGAAGAGGCTCAGAGAATGACTCGGTGTCACCAAGCGACTCTGAAGACGCCAGGGAGGAGCTGGCCGATGTCCTCGGGTCCAAAGGAATAGCTGGAAGAGACGGTAAATAAAACAAGAACTCTCTCTCCTCTCCCATCTTTTTCCCCTCCTTCTCTTTTATGACCTCCTTCTTTTCTCTTTGTAACTTCCTTCCCCCTTCTTCCATTCTTCCTTACCCTTTTCTCCTTCAACTCCTCCCTCCCTAATCTCCTCTGCTTCCTTTCCTTGATCCACTCACATTCCGCATCCCTCTTCCCTTCCCTCCTCCCTCTCTCCTTACTCATCTCCTTTCCCTTTCCTCACCTTCTTCTCCTCTTCCACTCCGTACACTCTCCCTGTTTTTGTCCTTATTTCCTTCCCTTCATCACCTTCTTTACGTCCTTCTATCGCCTCCTCCTCACCCCATACTCTCCCTCTTATCCTCTGCTCTTCTTCATCACTTCTTTATCTCCCCTGCTTCCTTACCATATTCCTCCTTCTCCTCCTTGTCCTATAACCCTTCTTCTTCCTTCTCCTCCTCCCTGCACTCTCTCTTTTCTCTCTTTTCCTCTCCTTTCTCCTCACCCTCTCGTCTTTTCTCCTCCCCTCTCAGACCCGGAGCGTCCCCCCATCATCTCTGTCTCTCAGGACTGGGTTCCCATCCTGGACAAAGTCTTCAGTCAGAAGTGGTGCGGCGATGGAGAAGGAGGTGGGCGGAGTCTGAGCGAGGGCCGTGCTCGGCAGGTTCAGTCTCTCCCCACCCACTCTGTCAACCTGGAGCCCTCCCCCTCCTCCCCCCAGCAGGACCCCCGATGGACTCCTCTGGAGGACATGGAGGTGTTTTCTCCTGATGAGGAGGAGTGTCAGAGGAACAGCAGGGGAGGAGCCAACACCACCGGAGGACGGTCAACCGGACCTTCACCTGGACCTCCTCACAGCCCCACAGGTGAGCAACGGATAGTTCTTCATCTTCAGGTTATTACTGGAGTTTATTCATCTTTACAGGTGGACACAGAAACATCAGACCCACCTGACCGGCAAGAGAGGAAGCAGAACGTTATTTAAAAAGAAATAAAGATAAAATCTACATAAAAGCACAACTGGAAATACTTAAACCCTAAACAATAACCTGAACCCTAACCCCTCTTTAACCTAACCTGAAAATTAAAATAAAACACAACCTGAGAAACTACTGAAAACTAAAAAATATATATAGTATAAAAACATGATGACATCATCATAATCATGACTTAAATCCTTTTTATTATCTGGATTGTGAAGCGGAATATAAAAAGGATTCAAACAAAATGTAAACATGAAAGAGAGAGACAGAGACGTATACTCTATGGCTCCTTTTTTTACTCCTTAGTTCAGTTCCTGTAAACCACACACACACACACACACACACACACACACACACACACACACACACACACACAGAACAACAACAACCACACCCTTAATGACTGCTGCTCCGGCTTAATGCACAGAGGGAGCCTCATGTACAGAATGTATACACTTTGTGTTTATACCGCATGCTGTACCAGCGCTGTCCCTTGAGTAAACGCTCACTCACACACACTCTGTCTGCGTGTTTTGGACTCTTCACTGCCCTCTGCTGGACTCTCATAAAAATGATAACACATCTGGAGCTGCAGCTGATTGGTGCTCCGTTCCGTCATTTTGTTATTTATGAACACTCTGAGCTCGCTTTATTTCTGTGTGATGTCACTTCAGCCGTATTATAAAAAAAAGTCATACTCATTACTTCTTTCCCAATTGAGCTGAAATGTTGTATAAGACAATTATTCATAAAATGATTATAAACATGTCATGAATAAAACAATACAAAGCTGTGACCTCGATCCAGTTTGGATTTAAGAAGGATCAGAATAAAAGAGTTTTGATAAATTACTGTAATTATTCTATAAGTTATTCCAATCATTTTTGTTCTTTTACTCTCACTTATGGCATTTTACTCTCTGTCTCTTTGTGTCTCCGTCCTCAGGCTCCTCAGGTCGTCGCTCTTCCGCCTCGATGCTTCACCGTCTCCTCACTCTGCCGTCTCAGCTGCTTGAAGAAGACGATGAAGACGCCGCTGCGGTTGCCAACGAAACGCTGGCCGCCCTGGCAACCAACGGCGAGGAGCCACCTGTGCCAATCTGCCCGTCGCCCCCGATAACCAGGGAGGAGGAGGAAGAGGATGGTGAGGAGGAAGAGGAGGGCGAGGAGGACAAAGGGAGGAAGGTGAGGGAAAGGATGCAATGATTTAAACATTTGCCGTTTGACCATTTTGAATGTCTTCAGCCTGCAGCAGTGACACAGGCGGTAATGGCTTCACCTTAATCTTTAGTCAAATAAAGTCTTAGAGACTTAGGGCCCTGTTGTGAAGGTTGGATCAGACGCCTAGTGGGCGGGAGGGAGTGTAGACCTGGATGAGAGAGTTTAGGTAAGGTGGAGCCGTTTTATCGTTGTTTTGTAAGTGAGCAGCGAGGCGTTATTAAAGCTCTTGTTAGGAGTTTCTATCTGGTTATATAACACTGAAATGTACACTGACGACTCTTTAAAAGGTACTAAAGCAAACAAGGCCATCCGTATCAAGATGGATTATTTTTTGATCGTAATTTTGAAGGCCTAAACATCTGTTGCAGGGTAGGTTTCAGGCAAAGTGAGTTACTGCTTACTTTCTTTTTTAACATTTTCCAAAGCAGAGACTCTCAATTAGTGATCCATTTGATTTTAAAAAAAGCAGCAGGCAGAGATTTTTCCTCAGAAAATACGTCTTACAAATGTACAGTACAGAACCTAAAAGAGATGAGAGGTACCCATTTGTCCACAGGGGGCGCTAAAAACGAGACAAACTGACAGTTCCTCACAGGATCTTAAAATATACTCGTCTCTGTGGCTTAGAAATAGAATAACAGAATGGTTTGTGTGTTCTGTTCTGTGTGTTTGTGCAGAAGAAGAGGCGGAGGGTTTGGTCCGAGTGCGAGGAGTGCGGCCGGAGGTTCAGTCGGATGTCCCTCCTGAAGGCTCACCGTCAGACTCACGTCGCTGAAAATGCCGCCGCCGACACCTCATCCCCTTCGTCCCCGCCAAGCGGCTCCTCCTCTGCGCTGCGCTGCTCCGAGTGCGGGAAAAGGTTCTCCTCAGCAACCCGCCTCCACAGCCACGTGCGGACCCAGCACCCCGGGAGCAGGTCCTGAATCCGACATGGCGTAACATCAGGCTTGAAGTTGAGCTTTAACAGAGTCCAGAACAACAACAAAAAAAAACACCCTGAGTACTGAGTGTGGGATCCACAGACCTGAGACCGGATCAGAACCAGGGAGCAGAAAACCAAGAAAGGGAAACACATCTGGTTTAGAGTCAAGTTTACTGAAACAAACACCTGAAGATCTGAGAAAGTAATCGGTACACAGACACAACCAATGAGTATAGAGCAGTTTTTAACTCTTACACACAAAGATAACTTTTAAAAAGAACAGGATGATACATCGTACATGTACCTGGAAATGCATTTTTAGACACGCTTAGATGCTTAAACTCTAAAGCAGAATGGCGACTGGACTTTTGGCTCTCTTCTTAGTTTACACACATTGATGCTTTTACTCTGAAAAGCATCTTTTAAACAAACACAGATGCTTTTATTCTGACAGAACAGAAAACGTGCTTTAACTAAGAAAACAGAGGGAGGTGATTTTACTCTGAAACAGAACAGGATGTTGTTTCACACTAAATAGAAAAGAAAAAGATGCCTTCACTCTGAAATTGAGCAAAAAGACGCTTTGACTCGACAAAAACACCCGGACTTAATTTACTCCAGATGCTAGCAGATCTCTAGCTGAAGCCGCTACAGCATCAGGGCGTCCACTAACGGTGTTTTATATGCGGCAGCGCCCACAACCTCAATCTCAGGGTGCTTCTCATGCTCTGAAATTGGTTTAAATATTGCGAGCGAAGGATGAGTTTCCCATTCCGCCATTGTTGTAGACAAATTGAAAAGAAGTCTTCCCTTAATGACTTTTGGAGTATTCACACTTGAATAAAACTCCTAAAACTGTTGATAATTGTCAGGGTGAGCTGCATATTTGAATGCATACAGCTGAATTTTTCACTCTTTACTTACCTGGATTTTTTCCTGCCGGCCCCCAGAGTAAACTGTAACACAGTAACACAACCAGTGAGAGACTGTTGCTGTCCTCTTCATGCTCTTTTCCGCTCGGCAGTATTTTCTTTGTATGTAGCATAAAGGCAAACAAACCGTCATTACAGCGTCAGACTTTGTTAGTGCCGACATCGTTATCCTGTAAACATTACCAATGCAGCGTACCTTTTATGTCAAGTCCCGCCTCCTGAGACGCCCTCCCCAGTTCAACAGCGCAAACTTCATGCTTTAAGGGACATGTGTGAATAGCAACTTTGGAAATTTCCAGGGCAACAATTCTCTAGGATAAGAGCTTTTGATTGGTTGGTGAGAGAGAAGTGACAAATCGATAAATGCAGCAGAGCTCCAAGAGAGGAACTGTTTTTAACTGAGTGAAGGAAAAAGCGAAACTGCTGCTGTGGGTGTTGTTGCAAATTGGACGCCGCACACTGAAATAGCTGAACTGTAGTCCTTTTCTATAATATGCACCAGCAGCCCATAAAACACCGTTAGTGGACACACAATACTGAATTATAAACACTCAGGTTGTAGTTTGTTCAACTTGAAAATCCAGAAATCTACCAAATCTTAATGGCCCTGAAAAAACCTCTTCTCCAATCAGGAACCAGAATGCTCGCTCGGAAGGGCTTCAAAACAAATGAGCTTTTCAAAATAAAATAGTTGTACTCTGAAGCTGGAGCAGTCGACCCCTCTGACTTCACAGGAAATCAAAATTCACAACACTGAAGGGAAACGGGTGAGAAAAAAAAAAACCTGACCCAGGAAAACAAACGCACTAAACAAGGAGGTGTCAGACCCGATGTGACGAAGGGAAGATCACGTCATAACTCCTCCTCCTGCTGTACATCCACCTCATCTTCTTCTTCGACTCCTGTAAAAAAAAAACATCAAATCCTACTAATAGACATGGAACAAGCTCCAGCTGCTGCAGGTGAGTTTCAGTCCGAGCAGGTGAAATATTTTTGCAATAAGCTCGTCGCCGCAGCAGCCGAACAGTCGGAGCGCCATTTCCCCTTTTCCTTATTCCTGTTTCATTTGTGTGGTGGTGATTTTGTGGAACTGTACAGCGTGGACGGTCGCTCACACAGACAAAAAGTGACCTTTGATTTTTCTACCTGTTTGTTTTTAAAGTGCTCTTGTTTTTGTTTGTTTTCTTCGACAGACGGACTGGATACTTTTTTTTTGTTTTTTATGGAAACAGTTTTGGATTATCGTCAGGTGCATTTTTCGTCATGTTTTAGATATTTTGAAGATCTTCTTTTGAAGTTCTTTGCGTGTCACTTCTACAAACAAAGAGGAAGATGAAACTATCGTCAGTGGCATCGATTGTTTGGACTCGTTGAATGTGAATCTGCAGTTTTGATCCTTTTTGTTGTACAGTTTCAACTTTACAGACAGAACTGATGACGAGACGAGAGGAAGAAGGAAGACGGTTTTAAGTCTGCAACGGGTTACACCTTTACCTCCTTCAGTCTTTCCTTACATCTTTCCTTCATCCACTCCTCGTCCTTCGGTCCAGTTCGGTTCATGTTACCTCACAGATACCTCCCAAAAAAAACAAAAACAAGCTGGTATTATCACAATTTGTTCCATTCTTCTACAAACAACCTTTCTCTGTCTTCTACTAATTATTCTCTTGTGTTCACTTTGATCGAGCTCCTCTGTACGGAACACCATTGCTGCCAGGAAAAAAAAAAGATCAATATTTTGATAATTGTCACATTAATTAAAAACAAACGAGACCATGACCTTCAATTAGCTTATTGAATATAAGCACTTTGTATCATTCTGTCTAAAAGAAAAAAAAGTGTTAAGATACAAAAGTAATCGATGAACATGATTTTCTTCTTTTGGATCTTTGTGAAATAATCATTAAAAATTCATAATTATATAAATCTTTACAGTTTCATCAAAGACGAAAGATAAATATCTAGATGTCATCATTTCAAAAGGAAAAGTTAAAAAAAAGTTGGCTGTTTTTTTTCGTTATCATGAGGTCTTTACCTTAAGGATTTTTAAAAATTGTATTTATTACAACAATTTACATTGTTTGATTTTTAACCTTTTCTTAACCCTTTTCCTGGCAGACATTTTCTTCCATTAGAACACTTGATAAATATGAGGGACAAATTAATGAAATCTAAACTGATGTCTTCAAAACTTTTTTTTTTTAATTCTGTCAAAAAGAAAACACAAAAATGCCTTTTATAAAAATTCAACCCATACAAAATCAACAAGCATGAAAAACACGTCATCAATAGAAACCAATGATTACTTGGCTTTGACTAATTATGTGACCCGTTTTTAATTTCGTGAACCTGTTCCTTATGGAGGACAAACAGGACAGAACTTGAAAAGTATGCGAGCATCCTGACTCAAAGTGGGAATTAAACCAGACTAAATCAAAGTTTAAATTTATCCTAAAGGGAAAACAAATCATGTTTAATGTTTAAATAATTTTGTTTTAGTATTGTGTGATTATTGCAATCGCAAACATATACTGTTTTAATTTATTTAAAAATAAATACATTTTATGTGGGCGCAATGAGCTTCCATATAAACTGGCAAGAAAGACAAATTAAACTGCGAAATAATGAGAAATTATATTAAAAAATATTTTTAAATTGATATCTTCAAACTTTCCCAAAAAAAATCAAAACAATGCGAAACAGAAAAAAAAGCAGATGACAAATAATGCTGTCATAACTCAGATAGTAAAACTGAAGAGCCCATCGATGCCTATCTGGTCCTGTGTGCCTCATGCTGGATCAAATATCAGTGAGGCCAAACAGGAAGTCCTGATTAGGCCTCTCAAATCCTGTCAGTGTGGTGCTTTCACATATTTAAAGATCCAATTTTTTAACCAAATCCTTAAGACGACAAGTTCCAAATATGGAAGCCTTCTCCTGACAAAATAAAGAATTTGTATTTTTTTAAACTTAAACGTTTTCTTTACAAGTTTATTAAATTCTATACCTTTAAAGGTAATTATTCCTCTAAAGGCACTACATTATGCTCTTAAATTAAAAAAAGGCACCTTTTTGCGTCCCACAATTAAAAAGATGACTCAGAAAATATATTTTTTTTATGCCTCATTAGATCATGTCATCTTGTTCTTCATCAGAAATCCGATTAAAGGGCGCCAAAGATGAAATCAAGTGTTTCATGGCCAACTACGTCGGTGAACTGTAACCATCTAAACGTGATAATATTGTGTTGGAATGTGTAGGGATGAATTCTTCTAACTTTTCATTGTTTTTATTTGAGTCGTTCCTCCCCCACCATCTTTGTTTGCGTGCAAAGTCTCTGTAGTACAACACAACCTTTTGTAGCATTTGTACCACAGCTTGGGATGGATGGAGGGATGGATTGTGGTGAAAAGAAGGATCAGATAAATATATAAATATATCAGCGATATATCCTGATGTTTTTTTATGTACAGATGTTGTTTGTGCTCTGCAATGCTTCAGCACCAACAATCTTCGTTTTTTTTTTTGTAAATAAGCTAACTTTTTCTAGCCTGACGGTGAATCTGTTTATAACCTGTTTGAACAAAAACTTTAAGCAATATGAAGCTAAAACTCTGCTGAGCAACCACATCTTGATTCAACGTAGAAAAATAGTAGAGGATCACCCGTTCACAGCCGCTGGTGAATGCTCATTTGCAAAAAAAAACAAAAAACAAAAGATGTAAAAGAATGAAAATGTTGAGACTGGGTTGATTTCATGAAAACAGGTCTCCTTCAGTAAAATAATAATACTAGGATTTTGATAAATTATTAACTGTTTAATTACCTGTTTTTGCCTCTGCTTGAATAACTAAAGCTTGTTGTCTTGCTTTGCTTACATCAGAATGACCTAACCGCTTTTCTGCAAACACTGAGAGTATTTGTTTTTCTGACTTGTTGCACTTTCAGACTCCATACCTGTCAAATACCTCATTTTTCACGTAAAACATTTCAAGTGTTTATTAATTCCACACAGACCTCATTACCTCAGTGAAAGTACGCCGTTGATATTTGACTACAATAATGTGTA